CAACGGCTGGCGTGTCTGGCCGAAGTGTCTGCCGCCGCGATGGCACTTTGGCGGGAGCTATCTTCGTCACCTTTCGTTCCGATCGAAGGCCATAGCTTAGTCTATGGAGGAATATCTGAATTCATCCGCGAATTGGCCCCTCAAGAAGACAGGGTCAAGAGGATCCGAACTCGGCTGCCGTTATCCATGTCCGGTTATCCCTTCCATCATGCAGCACTAACAAGGAAGCGAGGCTGGCGCCATTTCGAAAATTGACGAAAGATCGATCCAGAGTTTATCTTGTTTTGACGATAGGGAATCTTCTTAGCAGTAACCATGGCGGAGGTCCGGATGGAGCGCGAAGCTCGTTCCCTCCCTCCAGAACCGAGCGATGCTCTCGGGAAAGATGAGGACCGAAGTAATTATTTTTCTTCTCCCTTCTTACAGGCTAAGCCATATTCTTCTCTCGATCTACCTTCTCTCACGGTCGAGGGGATATTGCATGCATGTTGCCCCTTGCCCTACCGTCGTTTAGGGTGCAGGGTTGAGGCCGCGGATGGGGACCCAGCTAACAAAAAGACCAAGCATTTTGCCAGTAGTTGCGCCTCCCTTTTCAACCCCTTGCCCTACCGTCGTTTAGGGTGCAGGGTTGAGGCCTGTCTCTTATACACATCTAGATGTGTATAAGAGACAGCCCTTGCCCTACCGTCGTTTAGGGTGCAGGGTTGAGGCCGCGGATGGGGACCCGGCTAACAAAAGACCAAGCATTTTGGGAAAAAGCAAGAAATCCATTATCATGAAATCACATGAGGCCGGGAATTCCTCACAAACAACCCGGAATGAAATGAACTGTCTCTGACTGGGACCATTACCCAGAGTCGGTATGTGGGCGTTACCCCAACAACACTTGGCAGAGCCAAAAACATTAAAAAAAATTCCAACCAAACAAGGGGGGTCGGGATGGTTTTCCAACCAGCGGGCCCTAAACCAAAACCATCCCGACCCATGGGAGAAAGGGAAAAACCAAAACCGCCACTAAAACCCAGAACTAACCAACTCTAGCTTAGCATACTCTACTGGGTGCTGCTAGCGCTAACTTGCGCTGCGGACCGGCCGGCAAGGCCCGGCCGCACTCCGTGGACTGGCGCAGGGGTGGTGAATGTCATCGCTGCGCTTGGTCATCCTGGTGCCCGTCCGGCGCTTCGGCCCGGGCGTAGGTGGGGGTTTTCCACGTGGCAGTTTAAGGAGACGGCACGTCCGCATGATGGAATCAAGCTTAGATTAAAGAAGTGGCGCGGTTGTTTGGGGGGCGGCTTCGACAACATAACAAGATACAATAACATCAGGATTACTGACAACAACGGCCTTAACTATGACTACATCGACAACAAAAATG